CCCCCCCCCCCCCCCCAGTGTCCGCCACTGATTTCAAAGTATGGACCAAATGTATTCCACAGTTTCATCATATGGAAAATTATAAAATGAAAGCTCGAGATTTATTTTACTGTTGGTAAAACAACCAGGAACACAACACGTAAAACCACCACTTTCGCGCCAAAACAAACCGAGGAGTGAAAACAATTTTCAAACTGAAAAAATATCTAAAAGGTTGAAAAACCCTCCCTGAACTGACTTCAATAGATTTAGTGTCAAGCCCGAAATGTACTTTTTTCCGACCTAAATGCGTAAAAACAAGTATATTTCTTTGACATATAAGTATCAAAAAGCAGTGCTAAATATTTAAATAGTTTCAAAAGCTCAGCATATTTTCAGCTATACTTCGAAAAATATACGTTAAAATATAAAGAACTTACCCTGAAACACAAAAATGTAAAAAATACCTTAAAACTTAAACATGATTTCTAGACTTCAGTTATATATTTTTATAAATGCTGCATGAACACAATGACAATGTTTTCGGCAAGTATACAATTTTAATTGTTGCTGCGACGTCGAAAGAACATTTTTGAAGCATGTTATTAGGCTAAAACGATCAGGAAATAAATAGTTTTAATCAGTTGACCTTTTCAGTGTCTTATTGTTGAGTAGAATATTGCATAAAAAATAAAGGCTTTTTATCTTGTCGTTTTACTAGCAACATGTCAACCATGCTTGGACTAAAGTAACAAACACAACATGATCTCGAATCTGGTTCGTAACACTGGAGTTTTTTTAGGAATTTAATTAAGCATCGAACAAAAAAATAAATACGTTATTTACCGTTATGGTCGGCCCGTACTTGAAAAATATTTTCCCTCGGTCTCAGAAGCGTTCCTCGACCTTCGCTCTCGGCCCGCTTCTGAGACCTCGAGAAAATATTTTTCAATACAGACCTCCCAGCCGGTAAATAACATATATTTATTATATATGGACAATGGTGTTTTACTGGAAACTAAAACACTCGTAGAACTCATACGTCACTACTTCCGGGGCCAGATGCGCGTATTTTCCGTATTTCACCCCTGCGAGTGACATACGAAGTTCGAAAATTTCCCGCCATTTTCATTGTTGTTGTTTTGAAAATACAAATGGTCTTTGGTTCGTATATAAAACGAAATTAACGTTGAAAATAGAACGAAAACATTTAAAAGACATCTTGAGATAAGTAATATTTATTCTAGTTTTATGTTTGTTTACTATAATTTTAAAAAATATCGCTTTTATACTGGTTTTTCGCGTGCTTATTTATAGTCGGCCGGCCAAGATGGCAAAAAGTGCCTCTAAAGAGAGTTTGATGGCAACTTTATGTTAGAAGCTGGTAACAGGCATTTTCTTATAGTTCAGGCCTTGGTGAATAAGACTGTGTGTGTTACCACTTCTGATTTTTGCTTTATAGCCAAAAAATTGAGAATTTTAAAATTTTGCCTATTAAATTACTATGATGGCAACAAATGTAAAATTTCATGTTCTCTTATACAAAAAATAAACTATACCACTAGAAAGATTTGCAAAAAACTATATATAAGACAATAAAGCGACTAGTGCGATTTTCAAGCCGATTTTGAATTAAAGATAGTTAAAGTTGGCAAAATGGGTACTAATTAGCATTAATGTACGAGTCAAATCCAACCGCGATCAGGCCTCCCCCCGGGCAACCCCCAGGGAATTTGACTTTTGAAAAAATAACTGGTCAAATGCCCGCCCGAACAGGCAGAAACCACAGTCAAATTCCCTGCTATAGGGGTAGTCCTGGTTCTGGAATTTTGGCTAAAATTAAGTTGAACAAGTATTTCAAGATTAAAAAGAACGAAAAATAGGCCAGACAGTTCTTTTTGTTCAACCGGGTATATTGTATCATATATCTATGATTGATATTTGTGATTCAGAAGCAATTTTTAAACTATCGAAAAGACGTAAAATAGAAAACTCCTGAAGCGCTAGAATGTACACATATTT